GGTTTTCATCCGCGCACACAAGTGCATTGAGCCGCGCGGCGCGCCACCTCTCCCCATGTGTCTTTCTTCGTATCTGTTTCTCTCTGGTCCACTTGATATTTATATCCGAATAGATTAAACTTCAAGTCGGCTTTGCGACGTAGCGCACTCGTGGGCAGCTCGTTGCGCGGCGATTCATCTCCTCGCGAGGAGGAGAGGGAAGAAAGAAACCAAATAAACGAGCGAACGAGAGGTTGCGCCCCTTTGCAAGCACGCAGGGCGGAAATACATTCCGTTTAGTGCGTAATCGGCTGCGCTGCGGGTGGGGGGGGGGGGGGGGGCGCAAGAAGATTGTGTCCTCGTGTTGCTTGCCGCTGTAAGTGCCGCGCCGATCGAACTTTAAGCGCCTAGGAGGAAGCGGCTTCGCACTGCTCTGCCATAACTTTATTACAGGCATTGAGTGAGCAGCAAGGCGAATGCAGGCGCTGAGTATCGTCAATTTTTTATCTGTTCGCTCGACTGGGGCGCGAGCGACGCGGCAGGGGGCTTTATATGCAACTACTTATGCCGCCACGCTACCTGTTGTTTTTTTCTCTCTACTTTTAACTTGCCGTGGCGAGGAGAATGTTATTAGGTGCTCTGCCTCGCATTGTTTTATCCATAATAATTTAGAGCTTTTTACGACGCGCACTTCTGCTCGAGCGATAGTGCTGGCTCCGCGTCCGAGTTGGTTAGAAGCTCGGGCGCTGCCACGCCTCCAGATCTAACAATAAAAGTAAAATTAATGTCTCGGCAGCGGCTCCACCGATCGTGATACTTAAAAAAACTCGATATCGCCGCGCACTTCTCGTCCCGACTCTTCGCCATGTAGTCGTAAAAAAAAAGAGAGGAAAAAGCAAATCCCACATTTATAAAAAGGTTAACGAATTTACGCCAAGTTTCGACATCGAGGCGCGCGCGTGCAGCCGACGTATTTTCCAGGCCCTGATAAAATCAGTTTTACGCGACGACAGACTGCTGCTTCTGCCGCTCGCCACATCGACACGCGATAGAAAAACGAGGCGAGCGTCGCGCGGACGCTCCAGTCCAAGTCAATTCACGAGCGTTTAAGGCCCTTTTTCGGTAACCCGACACCATACCGGTAGTCCGACAACGGCGGCGGTGACGGTGACGGCGACGAGAGAGGGGAATAAATTGATAGAGCCACAGCGAGGTGTGTCTGCTGGCACGAGCGCGAAAGACTGAAAGTCGATGCCTCGCATGAATAATTTATCGCGGCGACGACGACGACGACGACGACGACGAGAGGTTCGCTGCGCGATCGTGTGCGCGTGGGACGTTTAATATCAGGCGCTACTACCATGCTCGATGCTCCTCTCGACTTTCCCTATATACGCGGGGGCCAATCTTTGCGCCGCGATCGCCGAACGAGCGTCGCTCTTGATCCCTCGGATCGGCGCGCGACCGATTTGGAGAAACGCGACAAAGAGAAGCCCTTTGGCGCTCGCGATTGTGTTGCGCCTTGTGCCTCCACTCCCCTGTCGAGAGGCGAATGCATTATCGCTCGACGATGATAATGTGCATATATAAATACTGACAGGCTAGGGTGCTACAAAAAGCTATCGCTCGGCCGTATCGCGCGGCCTATAGTTTTTGTTTGAAAATTTCGCGCGAGGATTACGCTGACAGATTTATTACCAAGTGAAATACATTTACGAGTGAGTGCGAGCTAAGTTGTTTATTATGAGGCCTAATTGTAGGGTAATCGAAGACGAATATCTTTCCGATTCGACATTTACATGCCGGCATGAATAATGTAAGCTGAGCGAGGCGAGCTGCAAAAATGCTAATTCCAAGTTGGCTTCAACAGCCTGTCATTATCGTTTGTAGACACATGTATAGCGAGTGTTTTAGTAATAATAGTAGTAATGATAAATAAAAGGGAGAGAAAGTGGTACTGCATAGTATGGGGAAAAAGTGCGAGTAAAAAAGGCCATTTTGATCGACAGCTTTCAAATGTAAATCCGTGGGCGCGCACCGTCGCGACCGCGCCAGCGGCAATAAACTTCTTTTCTCATTCAATATATAAAATGGAATAAATTGTCGCTCGCGGAAAAAGTTGAACGGCTGCGCGAAGATACCACCACCGCGCAGTCGAACAAAAGCGCGCGCGAGAAAAATAGAAAAAAAGGAGCGCGGAAACAACGAAGAAGAGCACAAGACTAAAAATAAATGGGGAAAAACGGAAGAGACAGCACTAATTGTAAAAACGTCTTATGAACTAGCGCGACGATGATTTTTTTAAAGCGCAATTAACCGGCGAACTTTCGTAATCACCAGACTCGGGAGTTATGCAAAAATCCCTTACGAGGAAGTGAGAGAGAGAGAAAATTGAGCTTTATCAAAGGACATCTTGTCTCTCTCTTTCTCTGTCTTAATTTCAGTGTGGTGTGCGTGGCAATAAATTAGTTGCGGAGCTAATGGCAAAAGCGCTGCGTAGCTTTATGGTTGCAGCCTCAAGAAGAGAGATGTAAATTTGTCGAGAGGGAAGAACACGCAAATGATTAGCGGTTCGTACGTTAAACGATACTTGAACATCATAAAAGCACTCGCTCACACGCGTACATACATTAAGTTCGGATCGGTATTCCGAAGTTTAACTGTTTGGATGAGTCTACCGAACCGAGGGAATGGCGCGAGTTCTTACGTTTAATTGTGGTGAAACGAGTTGAATCAAAGGCACTCAGCAGATAGGAAATCACTGCGGTGAGGTTGGTTTGTGCGCCAGGTCGACGGGGACAGGCAGGCAGGTTCGGTGTTGCTCGGTCGCACGACCGAGTCTTGAACGTTCTTCTCGCCGGTGCGAGTCTAATCTAGCGCGCGCGTTAACGTTTCACGCGTGGATTCGCGCGTTGCAGCGCATTTACGGGACCCGCGCGTTTTGCAAGTATTTAGGAGTCTCCAGAAGAGAGAAAGAGAGAGAGAGAGAGGATGGTCGGTTCGGAGCGCTTATCGCCCGTGCATGTATTTATGCGCGCACGTTTTAAAGTCGTTACTCCGTTGGCGCGGAAAAAGTGTGGAGCTCGGGCTTTTTTTATAACCCCTCCGTGCAGCTCTGTAATGGGCCGTTCAAGCGCGCGCTCTACGGGACTCTGATTCAGCCACGGCTTTTAACGCCGTTATTTATCCAACGAAAAGAAAAGCTCTGGCAGGCAGGTTTTATCTTGAAATCAAGTTCATTTGTGGGTAAGTGAGAGAGAGAGAGAGAGAGAGATATTTCACGCTCGACCGTGCCAGTGGCCACCTCAAAAGTGTGCATTACGATAAATTTTATTGCAGACGGGGCAGCAGCGGAGAAAAGCTCTTGCGCCGCACCGGCCGTGCCGCTCGTTACACGAGCAGCTCGCTATTAGTGTCATATATTTACGGCCGAGCGAACTCGGAGACTCTCTTGCTTACTATGCAAAAGTTATAACGTATATTTACTTTCGAAAGCGCGCATGTCGTTTTTCAATGATCGCTTCCAATGAAAATGATTTTCTTGCAGCGGCTGCACACTTGGCGCTCGTAAATTGCTTTAAACAAGCTAATCCGACCAGTACTATATCCACGCTAAATGTTGCATAAACGCTCTCGGCGGTAATTTCGTCGTCGCGCGCCAGAGAGGCAATATAATCGAGGCGACTTAGTTAACCGAGGAAAGAACCAGAAAAACCGAAGGAACTTGCTAATGGAAGCACTAAATCTCGCCCTGCTGAAATAAGTTTCGGTTTGCCGGCATCCTCGCTCGCTTGGCGCTGCTGGCTGCCGCGAGTCGTGTGAGTCATAGCCAATCTCGGCCAAAATTCATCACGGCGACTGCGCCCGCGACAAAAACAACGCCGAAAATCTCCCCCGCGTCCCGCAAATCATTCTTTTAAAAGGCCCGCGCGCGCCCATTGATTACGTATTCGATCCGCTCTCCGCGCGGAGACCGAGAAAAACGACCTCCGCCGGCGATCGTCATTGTCATTTTTTTTCTCAATGATGCATCGCGCGGCCGGTCTCTCTACCCGCGCCAGCCATGGGACACACGCCCACGCAGCTATACAAGTATCCAGCGCGGAGCACAAAAGAAATCCAAGAGCGCGCCTCGCGAATATTCGACGAGCCTGCCGCGCGATTTTCATCAATGACGCGCGTACTCGAGCCGCGCGCCGAACGCTTTGAAACACAATGCTACGTGTACGCGCGCGAGCGCCACGCGGATTTTCAGAGATAATTGCATTCTTCGAAAATTTCAATAAAGCCGAATAAATGCGAGCGCGGGCCAATGATTTTCTTTTTATCGCGGCAATTCACATATTCACCAAACGAGATCCACTTGTCATGTAAATTGTCAGTGATCAGCAGAGCAGATTCGTGTCAGGCAGCAGTAGCGCTGCCGGGCGCAGTTGTTGCGTTCGAGGGGGTGGGGGCCAAAGTTTTGGCCAAGTTTGCCTCCGAAAGTCAATGACACCGTTAGCGAAACGCCCCGAGTCAAGGCGAGAAAGAGGAGTTTCGTAGTTTGCGCGCGCGGGAAGAAAAGACGAAGTCCGCTCGGGGTGGTCGCGCGAAATTAATTCGTCGCCGAAAATCAAGCTCTGCGCTTGATCGAACGGAGTGCGTTTGGCGCGCTGCACGCAATCGCGCCGCCGGTCGTTTCAACGAGCGAGCGCGGCTGAAATGGGGAGCTGAGGTGCCGAGAAAAGCAGCAAACAAAAGAAACGGGGGCACATTAGAGCATAACCGAGCGCAGAAATCCGTGGTGAAATGTCAACGGCAGCAGCGCGAGCGGCGCGCCAGATGAGAGTCGCACGGCACATAAGCGGCTCTCATACATAAACATGATAAATCGCGCTTGGCTGCTGGATGGACGGGGAGGCTCCGAATCCTCGGTGTCGCGCATATTGCCCGCAGCACGCGCGTGCCCACATAATAATCTGCATGTCGGGGAAGAGTTGCGCTTATATATATGTGTGTGCGTGCGTGTGTATACTCACAGCGTAGCGTTGCTAGATGGGCAAACTCGACGGTCTGCTGTGCTGCCTTTTGATCTTTCACACGCTCGGCTGGATGCACAACAACGCAGCGGAATTCCACACTGTTTTCGCCCCAGCCGTCTCATATGATGCGGCCACTTTTCATTCTCACAAGAGTGCGACGCGCACGCTGCCCACCTGCCGCTATATTAGAGGTCGTTTCACGCGCCGCTTCGAAATCCTAGGCGCGCATCGCACCGCGCGACCGACTGAAGCACTGCACGCGGGAGAGCGAGCCTCGGTAGACGACACAGCAAGGGAGCTGGAGTGGGGGTACGGAGAAAGCAATAGAGAGAGAGAGAGAGAGAGAGAGAGAGAGAGAGAGAGAGGGATATTCAAGGTAAGGGACGGACCGAGAGGAAAGGTGCTCGCGCACGGGGGAGGTGCACCTATACTTTTCTCCAAAGGGGGATTTAGTCGTTGGGATTTTCAGCTTTAAAAAGTCAAAAAGCCGAGGACAACGAGGTATATAAAGCAGAGAAAGAGAGAGAAAGAGAGAGAGAGAGAGAGAGAGAGAGGGAAAAGGGGGAAGAGAAGGAGGCCGACACAGAGGAATCCGGACCTACATGTCGCTCGCAGCCAATATCCTCGATTGACAAATGCGAAAGCGAAACGCGCTTGTGTCGAGCGGACGCGCGCCAGTGACAATGGGCGAACGAAGCTGCGCCGAGCGTCGATTCGGAGCGAGGCGCAGTCGGAGAGGCTCCGCCGAGCACTGACTGACTGCTACGCCTGCCCGTGCTCCGACTCTGCTTCTCGAGTCTGCGCCGCCGTTGCGCGCGCGCCAGAGCCCGCGAAACCCCCGTCCGCGCGCTCACCGTTATAGTCGCTCTTTTACCTACGTTACGAGGAAGGGACCCATCTCTCGTCCGCGTATATCGATGGACAGATGGCCGCCTGGCTGGCTGACTAACGACGACTCTTCCCCGAATCTTTCGCCTTTTTAAATTGATGAATCGGCGAAGGCTGCGTTAGCGTGCCGACGTGCATTGTCATGTTCGACGGCTAATTATGAGCCTCGCGCAGCACAATATCTGCCGTAGCCACTTTGTGCCGGTGTAATGGACGTAGCTACGAAGCAGATTATGAAGATTAATCGAACGGCTCCGGCTGCACGGACGCGCCGCCGGCTGCAGCAGCGGCGTTACGCTACTCAAATATTGAACGTATGCTCGAGTTTCGTACTCTTATGCCCGTCGGAAGAGAGATCCACGGCTCGTTCATTACCGTTCCGTCGATCTCGCTACGTCTCGCAATCGACAGCCTTTTACAGCGGTCTTATTTTTGCCGTTCCGAGCTTTTATTAACTAAGCAACGCTCGCGGCTCTCGACAAACTGTACACACTCGAAGGACGCGTGCTGGACAGCGAAATGTCATGCCGCGGTTTCGGCTCAATATCCGCCGATAGAAAAGCACGGACGGGCCAGTATCGATTGCCGTGACCGTTATTCTTTCTCTCGCTCGGATGTACGCGCAGGAGTCGAACGAGCGGGAAATTTAAAGAGCACAGTTCCCACGCGCGATCGAGGTGTGTTAAGGCGGAATTAATCGTGTTGCTGCGCTAAGCATATACGTGTACGCAGTGCATGTTAGCGAAGCAAAGGAAGAAACAAATGTGAGCCTACAAACTCGAAAACGCTATGCGAAGGGGTCAAGTGCTTTGGTAAATATTGGCCCGCTGCGGTTCTTCAAGCAGCGCGAAGCCTCTTCAAACGTTCAAATTTACATATAAGAAAACTACACACGCGCAGGCGTGCCTCTGTCGTGTATGTTCTTACATCAATGCGGACGTGTAGGCGAAAATTCGGCGGCACGATTTACACGCTCTTCTGCCGGTCGTATTCGCGATAGACGTTGAAAACTGAAATCCACAAATAAGCTTCGCCGTGTTTGCGTACGATAGTTCCTGCGGATCGAGGCTGCCGAAGAAGGCGTATTCGCAACAAGACCGTTATCAACGACGAAAAAAATCAACAATCTTTGAAACTGCGCGATCCCGTCGGGAAACAAGCTCACGCGCGGTATATTAGCCAAGTCGAAAAAGGTACTCGCGCCGCGGGATGTATATGCACGCGTGGTAGCGTCGCGAAAGTAAAGTTTAATAACGCGCTGTGGCCACGAGGGCTATTGTGTGCTCGAAAAAAAAAAAAAAATAGAAAATAAAAAAATTGAAAGGAAAACGAGAACTCGTACTTTCACTTTGGGCTTTCGCTTTTTAAAGCCGCCGAAAAACATCGTAATACAGAGGCGTCCTGGCGGAAAACATTGGCCACTGTGCGCGCACTCTCTCCCTCTTTTCGGCCTTTATTACAGCAAGGATTTACTCTTTGTGGACCCTCTCCTCTGCGTAGTGGCACAAAGGATCCACGAACAGAGTGAGAGAGAAAGCATATACTACACGCACGCAAACGGGGCACACCCTCCGTGCTACGATATGTATATCCTCGCAGGAAGGCGGAGGAGACGCGCGCGTAAGCCGCACCGAGCTTAGACCTTCGGCTTTTGATCTGCCTCGGCTCGTTGCTCAAAATTGCACTCTCTCCGCCGCTGCCGTCGAGTGGTAGCAGCGGCAGGATGAACTGCGTTAAAAACGCGTTGGCGAATTGTTTGGCGTGGCGTGCGTCTAATGCATATTAAGAGCGACGCCCCCCCCCCTCCCCGCCCCCGACCCTTCGCAACCAGCGAGGAAAGGGAAGCCGCTTTTTTTGCTTTCAATTTTCGCAGTACGCGCCATAGCGATAAGCTATATAAAACCTCGTTGGGGATTTGCCTACACAAGCCTCTCGTACACGCTTGTTAATTTGCATATTTAACGTGTAGTCTTTCTCTTGCCGCAGCCGTTGTCGTATGAAATCTCGCGCGCGAAGTCAGAGTCGCTTGCTCGGTGTGTTGACACAGGTACCCCCCGTGATAATGGGGCTCCTTTTCTTATCGCGCCAGCACGCCCCCGCGCCGGCAAAACACAAGCGCTCCGCGAGCTCTCTGTTTTTTCAGCGAACGTTTGTTTGATCTTTTGATAGCTGGGTTTTCCATATCGCCAGCCCGTGGCCGCCTTCGCCCCCCTCTTTCACTCGCCGAAGTACACATGGCAATTGCGCGAAACGTCATAATTTGGCTTGTACAGTCAGTCCTTGATAAATGTTAAATGGCTTGGTTTGCATGCCGAGCGAAGGGATCGGGGTCACTGGCAGCGACGACGTTGATTTCGCCCGGCGAACTCGAAACGTGAATTCGTGGCCCAAAAAGCCTTCATTTCAATACAGCCAGCTCGACTGCATTGAGCGAGAAACCGCAGCGACAGATCTATTGAGAGATAGAGAAAGGCTGGCCGCCGCGAGTTGACATTTCACAGCTCGCATAATAAAACCGGGGCTTATTAGAGGCAACAGAGGCGGCGAGCAGCAGCGGCGCGTTTCAAAATAATTAAAGCTGCGACCGCCCGCGCAGTGGTCGTAGTAGTCGCGCAAGCTCCGAGTGAAAAGCCACCGACACCTCCAGCATCCGAGAGAAGGGCTCATCCCTCGCTGCCCGCGCGCGGAAGATAATTCGATCTGCTCTGTGATGTCCCGCAGTTCCGGCCATTTATTCGCCCGGGGAAACGCGAGACGCTCTCGTTTGCTCTCCCCCTGCGCCGCGCCAGAAGCGGGCGCATCAGCGCCGCCGCTAAAATAAAACGCCGCATCGCCGTCGTCCGCGCGTAATTTCTTGCCGTTCCCCTCTTGCCTTGTCGCCGCGGCGCTTCTTCCGCGCGGCAGCGCCCGCGCAGTTAAAGCGGTCGGGCCCGTAAAAACGCCGACTCATCCTCCCTTTCGACTGGCGCGAGAGCCCCACTCGCGTATTGCGCGAGCTTAAAGGAGACGCCGACCATGTCAAAAGGAAAGCGTCCCTTCTTTCGGCTCGTATCCTGCGCGCAACTTCTCGCGTGTCATTGCTTTTTATTTACCAGGACGCGCAGTCGGAATCCGTCTCTCCCTCTATCGCGGACCACTTTGCGCAAGTCCTTCGCAAGCTTCGCGTTCAAATACTTTCCGCAATTGTCGCGAGCCGGGACGTAAGCATCGGGTGGCCACTGATAAAGGAGATTATTCGCGACTGTTAGCCAAGATGCCCGACGTGCAATTTCGCCGAGATACATGCCGACCGCCTGCGACTACGTACTTACAGTGAAAGAAAAAAACACGCACATTACACTTGGCAAGATCTGAATTTATGGAATACTGGAACTCTTGTGCTGCAGCCAAGTGTATAACATTAGCTGCATCAAGATAGAGCAAATCTCATTTTAAATGTACAAGTTATATTCTCGCAGGCAGCAGCCGCGCACACAATCGTCTCGCGAACGACACTCGCGGTGACAAGAAAAATAATCTGGACGGCTCGAGGAACGACAGCAGCAGTGTGTAGGTACACAATGCGTGCTCGTATCTGAATGCCGCCAGAGAAAGAGCGCGCAAAAAACATCGGTAGCTTATGCGCCGATTGCAAGTTTCGGTCTTCGTGACATTTTTCGATCTCCGAGCTATCCAAATACCACGTCGGGCCCGCGCTATTCTTCGCCGTATCGTCGATTGGCGCGAGTACTCGTCGGTCCAGAGGGCAGTCAGCGAGAGTAGCATCCGCGAAAACAAGAACGAAGCGCTTTTCACTGGCCACTCGATCCTCCCCTAATCGACGACGCGGCTACGACGTATGCGCGCGAGTGTAAAACCGATATTTGCCATTTGTGGATTTTCTCCGAAGCAGCCCGTTTCGGCGCGCACACGCGGCAGCGCGAGATAGTCGAATTTACGAGCGGCAGCTTCGGCACGCACGGACACGCGCAAGGAGAGCGAGCGAAATAACGCGAGGCGCAACGCGTCGAGATATTATTGCGCGAATATATTTGCTCGCGCGCGGGCTGCAGCGTTTTCGCTATCCCCGGCGCGAAAATGCTTTGCGTGCAGCTGCCGCCGAGGAAATTGGTAGGTATAGCCGCGCGCCGGCGAAGCGAGCGCGAGCTTCTCGCCTGAAAAATGATTGGGCGCTCGCGCGCGCGCACCGTAATTTACTATTGTCTGCCGCCGCTAGCTGCGCGGCCGCCTGTATGTAAACAGGCCGAGCGAGGCGCGTCCGACGATAAATTCTCGCGGCAGCCCTATTATGCGGCAATCAAGGAGCACTTCGAAATTTAATGAATCGGCCAGATTCATCGCGACGCGTTTGTCTCCCGTGCTCGCTACTCCCTCATTCGCCTACGCGCGGCCGTAGGCTTATATGCATATATACAGCTGCACGTCGGCCATCGCATTATTTGGCTGCACGAGCATCGCTTCGCGCCTGCGCTCGATATTGCCTCTACCTTTTTAAGCATTCTCGATAGGTCGACTCGAATGCGATTTGCTAACATTTCACTGGCGACGTGTGCAATAATTGATCGCTCGTAAATAAAATCATGTCTTCCGCGGTATCATAAATGCAGCTTTTGTGAATTCAAGTAATTTAATGGCTCGGAGACGCCTTCATACGAATATTTAAGTTATCCGCTGGCATACCTGATCCTAATTTCATAGGAGTACATTTGATATCGTAATTGAACGTGATTGAACTTTAATAAAGTTATAATAGAGTCGAATTATCGGCCGAATACGTAATTGCTTTGTTTTCCTCATTGCCACTTATTTTTAGCCAGACGTATAAATTGAATATTGAATAATTATAATGC